ATTAGTGATTCTGCTGCAGAAACTTAGTTTATTGGGGCGATTTCAAAATCCAAGAGATCAAACACGTATTTTTGGAACCATAGATACGTATGACACTAACCATAAAATGCAGAAGAGTCAACCCGATTTTCGAAGGACTGCTGTTTCTTCGACTCACACACTGGTGCTTACAAAATACGGTATGACCGACTTTTAGCTTGGTAATTAATTACTTTGCTTTTTCATTTCTTATTCAACCGAAATAATTCCATTCAACTGATCATAGAAGTGATTTCTATGTTAATATGTATTTATAAGTAGAAGATGCATGTTTACAACAAAAAGCGCTGATTACTGAAAGTTGTATTTAACTATAAAAGAAACGAAACAATTGTATTCATTTCAATAGTTAAACTTACGTAGGAAATTCTTATAGAAATTTCCATCATCATTTAGAACTGCGATAAATTGATACATAAGTAGAAGTCGAAACATTTATCATTGACTGGTTGTCACTCAATGAATATTAAATGGAAACTACATCAGATATCGAAGCGATATCCGAATATTTAATTACTTTGATAGAAAAATAAAACTCGTATTTCATTGTGTTAGTCAATATTTGCTAGATTATTCTAAGTACTAAGAAAGTTGAATACCTTCTGAAAATGTATCAGAATTAAAATTAGATATGTACTGATCTCGGATTCTGTCTTGATGTTCTGAAACTATCCAATCAATTCAGACAGGATCAGATATCTTAGTAATAACTTAAGTATTCTAAGAAGTTCGAATTCGAATATTTCTGCACGTTATTAATTTTTTATAAGTATGTTTGCAAATCATCCGTTTTTGATCATTAATTAATTGAAAATGATTATTGCAAAGACCAAATTCGAACTCAAAGGTAAACCGAAACTTCGCCACATAATATTTGATAATTTGTTCCATTTCCGCCGTAATTTTGACAATCTTTTTATTGTCGAAATCATGGCGGAAATCAAACAAAAGTGCCGACATTTCACATAATTAACCCAAATGTTCTGGTTCGGTCTTTTATCTAGTCTTTTTAAGTTCATTAATAAAATTAGCGAGTAGAACCAAACTAAAATTCAAGACATTCACAGCTACAGACAATGAAGTTAGTGATCCCAAAAACTGAAAGACAACAAACGTTCTAAGAAAAAATTTAATAATATTTGCATACAACATATGTTTAAAAATATAATTGACTATCTTTTCACATAGAAAATAATTTCATTTTAGCAACGTAAAGCACAAATGCTTGAAAAAGAACGAACTCGGAATGTACAAAAACAAGAATCATCTAATCGTAAACGAGTATATATTAAATTATTCAAACGAAAAAAAAACAAAAAAAATTTTTTTTTTAATTCATCGATTATTCTCCTATAGGATCGATCTGAATCCAAAGATGAAACATCTAAACGACATCATTCACCATCATCACATCATCATCATCATCATCGTGATAGAAATACTAAACAACGAGAATCTTCCAGGTTTATTTATATTGTTGATGAATTTCAAAAAAAAAAAAAAACGAATTCTTTGTTGTTGATTTTTTTAAATAGAGAAACAAATAATCATCATCATCACCGTTCATCTCGACATGAGAATAATTCTTCGTCGAAAGAACGTCATTCACCATCAACAAATCATCGTCATCATCGACGATAAAACTCCAAAGATTTCTTTTTTTTTTTGTTATCTATTTAACAAATTAGATATCTTCCTTCAATCATCTATGTATATAACAAAAATAAGATAAAGGAAAAAAAAAACGATGAACAAAATCAATGTACATGATTGTCTAATGGCTGAGATTTTGCAAACGAAAAAACAAAAAAAAACAATGATATAATTTTAGATATGAATTCACCAAAAGATATTGATCTATTACTAAATCAATGTGAAAATTATATGAATCAATATGATATTATGAAACTAATCAAAGACTGTTTACACAAATTATGTATTCATCAGCCAGATAATCCTGTTCACTTTCTCAAGCAATACTTTTCTGCTGAACCATATGATCAGGTTAGAAAATGTTTTCATCTTATTTTAAAAGAAAAATAAGATAATTGTATCTCTTCTATAGTTGTCGAGAGATATTTTTCCTCTGTTGTAACCTATGATGAGAAACAAGGAATAAATTTTTAGTCAGTTCTCCATCTCTTTTTCTCTCTCTGTTATTAAACACTGAAAATAACATTAAAAGATGTTAGTATTGACAACAAGAAAGACATGCTTACTGAATCCTGTCGTTTAAAATCTCTATATTTTATATTATAGCTCATCAGTAATTATCCTGGCATCTCTTTCTTTCCTGAACATGCGTATTTAACAAGTAGCTTAGAATAATAAGTCATTTATTTATGTATCCTTCAGTTTAATGTTCTCAATCTTGTGAACTAGTCAAAGTAAACCTACTTAGTAAATAATTTATTTCTTTACAGCACACAATACTTGAAACATGAAACAGCATGTTTTTTCTCTGTAGGCAATATTTAAGAAAAAAAAAGCTATAAAATTCTATATTGCATCGGATTCTTTCACACTCTGGATTGTCATAAAAATTGAATGGTATTTAAACAAAAAAGGTTGTATCTTCATGGTTGAATTCGAAATAAACAAAAAACAAACTGCTGTTCGAGATTTCAAATATTACACAATATAGTAAATTAAATCGTTAATTAGATAAATTTCTTTAGAAATATTTTTTTTACTGTTCTAAACATCCAACACATAATTAAAATATTTATTTCAGTTATTCATTGTAATATGAAAAACAAATAAGCTGTGTAACTAATACTTCTAATTCAGAACTATTAGTCGTAATATGAGCCTTTCTCTTTTCATAATATTACACTGAAATATAAGTAGAAGAGAAGTTTATGTCTTTTTTTTTTTTTATATTTAATTAATTATATCTTTTTTCACAAACAAGAAAAAACTCTTAACTTAATGATGACAAAAATAAAAAATAAAGAACAACATGCTATAAACAAATAGAAGTCATATTCAACGATTTTTTTCTCTCTTATTGCATTCACAAGCGTAAGAATTTTTTTTTTATTATGTACGTCAAGAAATTTCAACGTTGTTATATTCCACATTTATTAATATAAAAGACACTTAGAATAAAGAAAAAGAAACAAGGTATTCAATAATTCTTTTTATATTCATTATAATGAGTATGTACTGTTAGAGTATTTTCTTTTCAATTCGGATAGAAAATAAAAATTTGATTAGTAGAGATTTATCAAAAGCAAAATTATTCTTTTATTTTATTTTTCATCTATTATAGAGTTCTATGATGACTGATGAAAGTAATGTTGAATTTCCTGTAATGGTAAAAAAACGTCGTGGAGCTGTATCATCTAAATCATCGTCAGGAACGACTGGGACAACTCCATATGTTCGAGAGATTGTTCAAAAAGATTATGCTACAATGTGTGCGCTATCAGAAGCAATTAAGAAAAATATTCTATTTAGGTATTTTCATTATATATATATATATGGACCGATATTCTGAGTCTTTTTTATTACTTTTTCTTCCTTTTATAATTTCAAATAATTACATAAATTAATTAGATATGTATGTTTTCTAGTCATTTGGATGAAAATGAACGTGCACAAATATTTGATGCCATGTTTCCTGAAATTCATTTAGCAGGCGATATAATTATTCAACAAGGTGAAAAAGGTGAAAATTTCTATATTATTGATAAAGGTGAAGTAGATGTAAGTTGAATAAATATATCAAAGAAATGAAATTTATTTTTAATTTTATTATTATTTTTTTTTTTTTTGAAAATAATACGAAGGTTTATGTGAATGATGAACTTGTTACAAGTATTGGTGAATGTTCAAGTTTTGGTGAACTTGCACTTATTTATGGTACACCACGAGCAGCAACAGTTAAAGCTAAAACAGATGTTAAACTTTGGTCATTATTAGGAGAAACTTATCGAAGAATATTAATGGATTCAACAATAAAAAAAAGAAAAATGTACGAAGAATTTTTGAGTAAAGTTTCAATATTACGTAAGAAATGAAATAAAATTTAAAAAAAAAAGATTAATATTAAGATTAATTATTTAGAAACACTTGATGAATGGGAACGTCTTACAGTAGCTGATTCACTTGAACCAATTCAATTTGAAGATGGTGACATTGTTGTTAAACAAGGCGATCCAGGCGATGATTTCTTTATTATTGTTGAGGTAGTTATTTTTAAAAAAATTATACAGCTGAATTTTAAAAAGTATTCCCATCCAAATTTATTCTATCAATCGTTTTAAGATCTTGCCGGATTAGATAATCAATCTTCATTAGAAAAGTCATCTATACCGTTTTGTAGGCCAACTCATAACGCATCAAATAGTATAAAGAAACTTGTATTTTCATCAAGCGTTAATGATCTGACAGACTCTAACCTACGTGTAAAAAGTCTTGGTACAAAAATTTTGTTCGATTTTCGACCATTTGAAGGTCGTAGGACAGACTCAAAAGTAGTCAGTTAAAAAGAGAATTTCATCCTCTTTCTAAATATATATATTCAGAATTTTATTCTGACTTGAACTTGATTCATTAGGAGCAGATATTTGACGGAGACCGAGAACGACGTTTGTACAAAACGCTAATTTCAAAAGTAATGATAACTATGTTTGCTGATTTTTCGGTCATTGAAATGTAATCGAAAAGAATCTAAAGTAATCCGTTAGAATCAGAACTCGATGATCTTTCTAAATATATCTTTGGATTTTTTGCTCTGACTCTTAGGTAGTCAGCTGTAAGCAAATACCTGAATACATAAAAATCTCGTTTGCAACATGTAAAACGCACTCATTTTCCTCTTGTTCGTAGTATCGCTAAAAGGTATTAAAGGGTAATTTTTACTTCCTATTGTCGAAGAGAATTATATATACTCAAAAGGATGAAAAGTTAGAAATATTTTTCGGAATGCTACTCTTTCCATGAAATGACATTTTTCAAAATAATCGTTTATTCAGTATTGCGCTGTTTGACGTTCAAGAAAAGCTTATGTTTTGCAATGATATGTTAGAAACAAAGTAAATTGAGCATTTTGTAGAGCAAGCTTTATTCTGCAAACTAGTGTATAAAATCTCTTTCGTTTAATTTGAACTGAAGCACTTTGAACCAAGATACAAAAGATGGCCTGCATGAAATATTTTGTACAAACGTCATTTTTGATCCCTGTCAAATATCTGTCTCTAATGAATCAAGTTCAAGTCAGAATAAAATTCTGAATATATATTTAGAAAGAGCATGAAATTCTCTTTCTAACTGACTACTTTTGAGTCTGTCCTGCGATCTTCAAGTGGTCGAAAATCGAACAAAACTTTTGTACCAAGACCTTTTACACGTAGGTTATATCATTTAAGGAATACAATAGCAAATGTAAGGAATATAATCGAATATTATGATTTAATGTGTTCCCAAACCAATCTATATAGAATTTGTTAAAAGTTATTTCAATAGAGTTTCATTTCATATTTAATAACTTTCTTCCTATACAAAATCTATGCACTTTCCTAACTGTTGTAATGTTTGTCTTTAATGATGTTTTAAATTATTCAACACTATTCCTTAAGGCAAAGGCAATCAACCATGTAACTTTTTCATAAATTGTTTGCCACCTAGCTCTATTAGCATACTAATTGTTTTACGTCTGAATCAAAGTGCGTCATAGTCAATTTAACCAATCATTATCTAGAAAAGACTAATTTTTTCCATTGTTTAAGTTTTGCAAGAAACATTTTTTCAGTGAAAAATTGTTCTATCTATTAATAATAAGGTCATAATGCTCTATCATTTGAGATATATGGTTCTTTTCGAAAATGGCAGAAATATTTTTTTTCTTTCGAAACCCGGGTGAGAGCACGCAAATGACCTATTATGAAGATTCGGTTCTGTTTTATTTAGATTCTGTGTATCCGAGTGTGATTAGAATATAAGTTCTATTATATTCAACATATGTTCGATCTCGTGTTAGAATTAAAAATTTAGCATATTCCCGTGAACCCTCTAAGAGTTCGGGAATGAAAAGTTTTTTTTTGCCATTTCCAATACGATACATATATCTCAAACAAATGAAATATGCTGACTTTATGATTAACAGATAAAAACTTTTTCGCTCAAAAAGTATTTTTTAGTAACACTGATACACTTGATTGCCTGCAGGAATCGAAAAATTGTTCCTTTTTAGGCGAGCTACCACGCACTTCAATTGTTGAGACACCAATAGTATCGAATAATTTAAAGCATTATAAAAGCTAAAAATTACAGAAACTATAAATAATATTAATATGTTGAATACGAAGAAGTTATTAAACACTAGATAAAACTTTATATAGATTGGTTTAGAAACATAACGGAGTCATAATATCCTTTAACCGATCAATGGTTTATCATGTCATTTAAAACTTGAACTTCGTATATATTATTCGATGCGCCACAAGTTACTCTAGGAAACGGTATATATGGCTCTTCAAATAAAGGATAATCATTTTTATTGACAGGATTCTTTGTAAGAATATGGAAATGAATAATAAAACTTCTGTTTAAGGGTAATGGTATTGTTTATCAAAAAACATCCGAATTACCTCAAGCAGTTGAAGTTGATACACTAGGTCCTGGAAATTATTTTGGTGAAATAGCTCTTTTATGTAATCGACCACGTGTTGCAACAGTTATTGCTAAAGGTACATTAAAATGTGTTAAAATGGATCGTGCACGATTTGAACGTGTTCTTGGTCCTATACAAGATATACTTAAAAGAAATATTCCACGTTATAATTCAGTTATTCGTCTTGATCAATTACGAGCTGCTGCAGCTGCTTCAAATAATAATCCAACAAATAATAATGATAATAATATTAATTCTAATAATGAATAATCTTTTCAATTAATTATTTTTAAACTTTTGTGATGTAATTATTATAAAAAGAAAAGAGTATATGATATTAATATATCGTTTCGTATGAATGAACTGTATTATTGAATTATTTTATTGTATTTAAAAAAGTGTCTATTTTATTTTGTATTTTTAAATTTAATCAGAGATCTTTTCTTTTGCTTGTTCTGTTTTATTCTTTTTTTTTGTTTTTTCGAGCGATATATAACACTTCGATGAAATATGAGAAACGTTAGAATAGGATAAGAAAATGATGGCATATGAATGAATCAACATTTGTTTCGCTATTGTGATAAATGAGAGAACAAAGAGAGAAAACGATTCATTCTACCAATTTGTCATGAAGTGTTTTTTTCTATTGTTTATTTTACTTGTTTATCAAGTAATATGCCAAAATTTAACGTACGACATAGTGTTTAAATGGAATGAGACGTAAGTTAACCTTATTGTACAATAGTCATAGTTCTATTTCATGTTGGTTTTTGGTTAATTTAGAACAACAGAAGAAAATTTAGAATTAACAACATTATTTCTCCTTGATTTAAATACAACAAATAAAACAAACGATACACTTATTTCCGAAATAAGTGTATCACCACCAGTTAACAGTGTTTTACATGAAATATATCATACATACGATCCTTTTTGTTGGCGTCGTGCAAATGATCTTCTAGCATTTACATGTCCTGATGATGCACCTGAACGAGATGGTCTTGTTTGTTATCCATCGTGCCGTACTGGTTATAATGGTGTTGGTCCTGTATGTTGGGAAAACTGTGAAAATATAACATCAATTGGCTTTGCTTGTATTGATATTCATTTTTCAGAACGTTCATGTCCATGGTATGATAAATGTGGTATCGTTCGTAGAGCATGTGTATCATGTCCTATACGTTATACAAAACTTGGTTGTTTTTGTGGACGATTCTATATACGAAGTAGTTATGGTCGAGGTGTTGGTTCATCATTGATATGTTCAAAACGTTATGAAAAAGTTGGACCTTTTTGTTTACGAAATTGTCCATCAACTCATCCATATTCTTGTGTTACTGGTTGTTCAATAACAAAAGAAACTTGTCAACAACAAATTAAAAATATGACTTATTCATTTATTCGTACAACAACAGTCATATTTAATATAATTATGGGTTTATCATTAACTAGTAGTACAAGTATATTTGATATTATTTCAAATATAGCTAAGAATGATTGGACACAAATTGCACAAAATTTATTGATTTTAGCTGGAAAATTTGCAGAAAAAATTTTACCAGAATTAACAAACAAATTTCTTCATTGGTCATTGGATAAAATTAAATCAGCAACACAAAATGCAAGTTTAATTATAACAGCTACAGCAATGAAAAATAAAAATCTTTTATCACCATTTTTAAAAATTTTTCATCTTGATTCATTTATTTCAACATTTAATCATACACATTGTGAATTATCTAATGATGATCTTAATTTTGATTAAAAAATAAAATAAAATGAAATAAAAAAAAACTTTTTCAATATGATTTTTCTTTTTTTCTTTTTGAATTAATTTTTTAAAATTTATTTCAGACAAGTAGTTAAATAACTAGGGAGATGTTTCGTAGTTTATCTGCATTACGTGTAATCAATTATGGTTTAAATCCAGCACGTTTAGTAGCTTCAGGAAGTGCAAATACATTAAAGGTTAAAGAAGAAGTAAAACGGGAACGACAATTAGCATTACTGGGTGGTGGAAAAAAACGTATTGATGCACAACATAAAAAGGGTAATTGATTGTGTTTATTTATTGATAAAGAAAAAATTCTTGTTTTTTTTTTTATTTTTCAAGGAAAATTAACGGCACGTGAAAGAATTGAAGTTCTACTTGATCCAAAATCATTTCGAGAATATGATATGTTTATGCAACATCGTTGCTCAGATTTTGGTATGGAGAAAGAAAAATATTATGGTGATTCCGTTATAACCGGTTCTGGTCTTATTAATGGACGCCCGGTGTATGTATTTTCGCAAGATTTTACTGTATTCGGTGGTAGTTTATCAAGTGTTCATGCAGCAAAAATATGTAAAATAATGGATCAAGCTATGCTTGTTGGAGCACCAGTTATTGGTTTAAATGACAGTGGTGGTGCTCGTATTCAAGAAGGTGTTGAATCACTTGCTGGTTATGCAGATATCTTTCAAAGAAATGTTATGGCAAGTGGTGTCATTCCACAACTGTCTCTTATTATGGTAAGATGAAAAAAAAAATTCTAGATTCAGCTTGAAGTTTTTTGAACTAATTTCTCAAGATATATGCTAACACATATGAAATATTTTTTTTGTGTTTTAATTTAATTATTTAGTTCATGTTGTGCCCAGTTGTAGAGGATCCATACTCTCTGAAGGGTTTGTGCTGACGTTAAGACTTGACCAAAATTCAAGAAGCTTTCCATTGATCCCGTGTAAAACATGTATATTTGGAAAAGTTACAACGTCTCAGAAGCACTCGATAGAAAACTTCTAAAATTTTGTGCACACGAAAAAGTCAGCTTCATATGAGGAAAGCTCCAAAAATATGTGCTCAACAGTTTATTAAATGCTATTGTTGTTTGAGTTGTTATTACTACTGAGGGAACGTTTTCAATTGATCAATCGCTTTCTTACAGAAATCTTTCAGGTAGCTGGTTTTCCAGACTGACAAGTATTTTTTTAAAATGATTTTTGATCTGCTCATATGAATGACACTATAACTGATTCTTGCCACGTATTCTATAGACTCAACTGACTTATAAACATCCTGAAAAGAGTTCGTGCATTTACTTTTATAGTATATTTTTAATGAATGCCGTGATTTCCTCTCAACAAAAATTGATTTTCTAATTTTGACTTTAAACTTCCGACAGAGATAGCTCTTAACAAGAGTAGTTTATTGTGAAACTTTCAAGTCTTTTCATTTGTGTCTATGCTCAAATAAGAGCAGTGGCGTATCAACCATTGGAGAATTACCTACGTTCCGAAAAGTTAGCACTCAGGAATTTTTCGCGGCGATGCCAATAATTAGATGCTCCAAACGTTATTGTCTAAGAAGTTTTTTAACATAATGAGAACTGCTTATAGCTACAGACTTCTAGAGACAATTAACCAGGTAAATTGTGAACAAATAAAGAATCCCTAGCTACGCAACTAAATAAGATCATGCATTAAAATTCAATTTTGTTTTTCTTTTTTCTAGGGTCCTTGTGCAGGTGGCGCTGTCTATTCACCAGCATTAACTGATTTTATATTTATGGTTCGCCAAACATCATATTTATTTATAACAGGTCCTGATGTAGTGCAATCAGTAACAAATGAAACCGTTACACAAGAAGAACTTGGCGGAGCTAATTCTCATATGATTAAAAGTGGTGTAGCACATGGTGCATATGATAATGATATTGATACACTTTTACGTACAAGAGAACTTTTTAATTTCTTACCATTATCAAATCGAGATAGTGGACCAGTTATTCGTCAAAATGATGATAGTCCAGATCGTCTAGTCTATTCATTAGATACAGTTGTACCATTAGAATCAACTGCTGCTTATGATATGAAAGAAGTCGTAAGTAATGATACTTAATTTTAAAAATAGAACGATAAAAACAAAGAATTCAAATCTTTAGATTTATGCAATAATTGATGGAGAAGACTTTTTTGAAATTATGCCTGAATTTGCTAAAAATATTATAGTTGGTAAGCAAAAGAAAAATAATATCATTTCGTGTAGTTTTTATTTTATTGAAATTTGTTTTTTTTTTTTCTTAAAGGATTTGCACGTATGAATGGTCAAACTGTTGGTATTGTTGCTAATCAACCAAAAATTGCAGCTGGTTGTTTGGATATAAATTCATCTGTAAAAGGAGCTCGTTTTGTTCGTTTCTGCGATGCTTTTCATATTCCTCTTATAACATTTGTTGATGTTCCTGGTAAATAATGTCTTATGAAAAACTCTCATATAATAAATAATAATATCTTTTCTCTTGTTCTTTAGGATTTTTACCCGGTACAGCTCAAGAACATAATGGTATCATTCGTCATGGCGCCAAACTTTTATTTGCTTATGCTGAAGCCACTGTACCAAAAATAACAGTTATTACACGTAAAGCTTATGGTGGTGCATACGATGTCATGTCATCGAAACATCTCCGTGGAGATATGAATTACGCATGGCCAACAGCTGAAGTAATCCATTCTATATAATATTTTTATATTTCATTAATAATTATTATATTGGTTTCTTTTATCTATTATAGGTTGCTGTAATGGGAGCCCAAGGCGCTGTTAAAATTATATTTCGTGGAGGTCATGATGATGTTAAACAACGTGAAGCAGAATATATTGATAAATTTGCAAATCCATTTCCAGCTGCTGTACGTGGTTTTGTCGATGATATTATCGAGCCAAATACAACTCGACAACGTATTTGTCGTGATTTAGAAATATTTGCTCATAAACAATTAAAAAATCCAACGAAGAAACATGCAAATATTCCACTTTAAACTGCTCATTTTATTTAAACATATAGAACAGACACGTAGTTTATTCTTAATTATTGTGCATTTAGTGTTCCTTATTTTTTTTCCCCGCTTTCATACTTATAAATCTCAAAAATAATATAGTTAGAAGCATCGACAAAACATACACTATATACTAATAAAATAAAATAAAATAAAACAAAAAAAAAAAAAAAAATGTTCAATATGCGAAGACGTTTTTACCCGGAAAGCAAAAGATAAAAAAACATGGATTACATCATACATGATAAATCGACATGTTCTGTCAAGTCAAAAGGGTTAAAACAAAGGACATTAGATACAAAGACCATTGACAATAATAGAAAAAAAAACAAAAAAGAAATCAAAGAATACATATTGATTTTATCTGCCCGATTGTAGAAAGAAATAAATGTTTTACAAATTTTTTTTCTGCTTAATAGAAACCTCGACATAATAGTGCAAATTCTGTTTTATCTAAAAGTCCATCACCATTTCTGTCAGCAACATTAATCATCTCTTCAATGTCTTGTTTAGATAATTTTTGTCCTGTTAAACGTTTCATAACTTTACGTAATTCTTTTGGTTCAATAAAACCATTTTTATCAAGATCATAACAATTAAATAATGTTTCAATATCAAATTCCATTTTTGGTACTGATAGTATTTTAAAATCTTCTGTTGTTGTTGTTGAATGTTCATCGATTGTTGTTCCTGTTGTTGATATTTTCGATTCAAGAAATTGAACAAATTCATCATAAGTTAATACATGTTGATTTCCATTTCGATTTATTTCAGCAAACATTTGTCTTATTAATTGTTTATCAACAGTTTTATAACCTAAATCAATCATAACAGATTTAAATTCTTTAATAGTTAATTTTCCATCACGATTTTTATCAAAATAAGTAAATGCTTTTCGTGCATTCACTTGTGACATTGTTCGTGAATTTAAACGAGATAAAGGAACATGAAAGTCATTTGAAGAATTTGTTAATGAAGTTGATGATGGTAAACGACTACGATTCGAATTCAATGATGGACTTTCATCACTAAGTAAAATTTCTTCGGTTACACCGAGAACAGCAGCAGCAAGTTCGGGTACTATTTGACACTTGTTTGACATTATTCAGAATAATATAGTTTTTTTTTAATCTGAAAGAAAAGAAAAAATATGGATATATATATATATATAAATACGAAATAATCTATATTCTATTGTATGAATATGTGTTTTTTTTGTGTATTGACGGCAACAGCCGGTTAAACAAGAAATTATATACGAGTAAAAATCCCTCGATGTTTTATTCGTCTCAAAAGATGAAACATGACTAAATAGTATCTGTTTTCTTCGTATAAAAATATATCCTTATGTTGCCAACCATGATCACAAGGAGACAAAAAAAAAAGAAATCTTTTGATCTTTTTTTTTTTTACCATCCTTGTCGGACAAACATAGAAAATGTTAATCTATACACGAAGCCATTTACTTACGTCAATTGTACCTTGGTAAAAGAAAAAAAAAAACAACAAGAAAGAAATATTTATATTTGATGAATGATAAGAATTTCGGGTTTATCATTATCAATATTGAATAATTTTTCGTTTAAACATTTCATGTTTTCTTTTTCTTCTTCGTGTCTCTATACAATTACTTACGATAGTTGATCATAATTAAAAGATAATGATGAACCAACAAAATGAACGGTAATGGAGAAGGAAAGAAAGAGAAAGAACACGCAAACAAGAGTTATGACGTGCGGTTCAAGAAGAAAAAAGCATGTTTGACGTCATTACTTTTTTTCTCTACTATTTTTTCTTTTTCTTCTTCATCACCATTATTATAATCGCAAAAGAGCCAAAGTGCATTTGTAAAATTACCATAAAACTAAAAATAAAAGTAAAAAAATAAGATATCGACCATTGGTTTTTATACTCCGGATAATAGAAACAATATGCGTCTATCATTTCTGACTCATCATAAACAAAAAGCAGTAAAAGATGTTCTGTAAATGTACGTATTTCTTGACGTGAAAGAATGAATTTACTTCCTAATATCTTGTATTACTCATTTCTGATGTTATTGTATCAATGATTGATGACATCAACCTACAAGAATGATTGTCGTTTAATGAATTTCTATTTTTATGTCAACAACTTCTAACAGCGCTAGTAGTATCTATATACATCTCTATACATGTATCAGCGTATGACCTGACAAGGAACTTGTCAAGATATATTTTTAGCATATAATAATTATCTCTTTTAAAATTTTATCAACAATAAAGTAATATTAAACTATTAATAGTTTTTCTTTTTAATATTTAATATTTAATTTTTATGTTCTATTTTCTCTATAGTGATATAAAAAAGTAAAAAAAACGACATATTATGATTAATTCACTTGAGTTCAATCAATAGATTCATTCTTATTTCTATATGCATATGGCATTATTTTTCTAACTCAAGACATACATTTTACTATGTGTGTTCATAATTCAAGAATTGTTATCAATGTAGAGGATATGAGAAGATAAAAGAATTCTATGTTTGATTTGCACCTACGTATCTATATAAAATAATAGAGATTTGTTTTTTTGAATACTGTATTAATGTGTTTCTACGGAAAACATCTTAGGTGGCAGTGACCTGCACTGAATACTAAACGAAAGTGAATCATTTATTAGCAACAAGTTCATACGATATAAATTGTCAGTTGTTTTTTCTTATTAAAAAAATACTAGAAAATTGTCGACGTTTTTATCGAACTTCTATTTCTTTTTTAAATTAGTATCCAAAAATAAAAACAATCTGACATGGTCATATTAAGTGTGACATTAATTATAACTCAATTAACTATTTCTTATGAGACTTTCATTTCTATAGACTTTTTTTTTCTGTCAATCAATCAATTGCCTTATAAATCACTGATAAAAAATTCGATTGAACAATACTTACAAATATTAGGGTTGTTTTTGTTCTCTTATTTTCAATTGGAATAACATAGAGGACCATACGCTAATGAGTAGATTTTGTTAAAAAGGAAGAAAATAAAAATAATAGTGTAACTTTGATTCATTTCACTGTTTAGTCTACTAGAAATAAAAAGACTTACTAAAGAATAAATTTCAAAAACTACCTATATTTATATATATAGATGAATACTCAAATAATATGACCCCATCATGTAAATTGCGTATTATGTCTGGATTATCTATGCAAATATAAAGAAAAAAAAAATCTATCGAAATATCATCAGAATAATTGAAAATATACCCAACACGATATTCATTACCGGTATATCCGGTCACGAAACTTGATGAAAAAACGACATTATGAGATAGTTAATATTTATTGACGTCAGAGCATTAGTATTCATTTGAAATAGCTATTGTTCACGTAGTTATCGACGTCATGATAGTCTTTAGAATATTTTTTTCTTTTCATCAGCTGAGAGACTTGTACTTTTTTACTCATTTTTTTTTTTGTTCTAATGTGAAATAAACATCTGCCATATTCGCTATTAGTAATCGATATAGCTGTTATTGATGGTGATGTTTGTTGAAAACTTTTCTTAGGACTTTCTTCTATTTACAAAAAAAAAAAAAGTTCAAATCTAGACTAAAATTTGCTACAATTATTTTTCGAAATCATAGATACACAAACAGTTTTTGCTTATTATTTTATGAACTAATAACAATAAAGATTTCTAGTTGTTAGTTCGAATAGAAAAAAAAATTACGTTTACCTATTAGTAAAACTTCGAATATTTCAAATTGATATATGTTTATAACAAGTAGGAAGAAAAAGAGGGGTAAAAGTACTTGTTAAGAGAAAAAAAAGGTTGTGCCTATCAACCATGTTAAAATAATACAGTCATAAAAGACGAATAACGCATAATAGAAATAACATGTTTCTCTTAGTTTCTTCTTGTTTCTTTTTTTTTTTTTTATGGAGACGTATACTAAACATCAATTTATAACGGGTAACAAGTCTAAAAAAAGAACAAGTTTCTTTTTCTTCCTTTTACTTCATGATATAATCGACAAAATAAAATGACAAGAAAAATAATATAGTATGTAATCAATAGTATGAAGATAAATAATAATAATAATAAAATATTTTTTTTCCATTTACTTGATATAAACTAAGGCTAATATGTTGAGAGTTATCAACCATTACCATGATTATTATTAGAAAAATTCTTACAGATAAATAAATAGCTAAAATATTTGAATATAAAAATAATATTTACTTCGTTACTTGATCTGCATTTGACATAGCCATTCTTTTGAAAGAAAAAATATATAATTTTTGAGTAACATCAGGGTTTATATGAACATTTTCCCGTCATAATACTTGATGACAAATAAACATGAGACATTCTCTTTTTTTCTTATTCATTAAAATGCATACATTATGGAAAACTATATATATATTTTTTTTGAGGGGGTTATTATCGACAAAGAAATGTATAACACAGACAAACATGTTTATTCAATGAATTCAAATGCAAGCATGAAAAAAGAAAAAAAAATGTGACTAAATTATGAATACATAATTGCAACAATCATTGTCATATGACAGTTATGTCTGTTCGTCTTATCATTGATGAATATACACTTTTAAGGTATGCAAAGTGCAAAGGGCAAATGTAATGAAAACATAAACTTTGCCTTATATTATGTGTTTGATGATCTCGTCAATTTAATATAATATTTTTTTTTTTATTGTTGTCACTCATTGTATTGTTATTGTCAAACGATGACAGACGAAAACAAAGAAAAAAAAAGAAGAACATATATTCATATAAGGTTAAAATTCTTGTTTATTCACATTTCTTTCTCATATAAAAAAACAAACGAACTTAAACAAGTTTATTAAAATTGTTTTGTTTTTCTTTCTTTTAAATTTATCCATTTTTGTTTAATTAAATGTTGATGACACGACTTAATTTTTGCACACGATTAAGTAATAAATCACCTTTTTTAATAACTTCTTGATAAAGAAAATTTTTCGAATCAGGTCTTGTTGTTTCAATAATTCCACGTACTTTATCAATTTTACAATTAAGTCGACCACTAGCAATAAATCTTGATAATTCTTTATCAAGAAAATTTTCTGAACAACCAAATGCTTGTGCCATACCTTTGAGTGTTAATGATGAATATGATTGTAATAATTGACTATATGCAATAATACGCATTTCACGTACATAATATGTTGCATGTGGTGCTAAATAACGATCTTGAATTAGTAAATTTTGTTCAATTGTTGCTAAACAACGAAAAAAATCCGCATAACGACATTCATAAAGTGAAAATAAATATTCTTTAATTAATGGTAAACCATGAAGAATTTCTAAAATTTCACTTCCACGAATAACTAAAAAATACACAAAAAAAAAACATAAATAATAAATTATTTTCTTATCATTTAAATATTTACATGAATAGATATGTTATTATTTATTTAACGAAAATAGACAAAAAGAAAATTTTTGATATGACCGTTTTAGATCTATCTATGAGCCGAAAGTTAATTGAAACCCGAACCAACCCGATAGATTCTACTAGTAACTAGCCTCTCACTATGAAATCCTTAAACATGATTTTATGCTGCATTTACTATGTTTGTATACCTTTTTCACGCAATTTTGGTCGTTCAAGAGCCACAAGAGAACAAATAACAGTATAAGTAACAAATGTTTGATAGTCCATTAATTCATATGATGTAAATGTTGCTACTGTATCAAGAAATAATTCAGCAGCTGATTTAAAATCTCGAATAGACATAGCTCGTAAACCTTGATAAACTTTCATACGATTTCGTCTATCCCAATCTCCACCTTCATCAACTAATGTTTTAGCTTTATCTAAATTTCTTTCAATTAAATCTTGATCCATATAAAATAAACCTAAACGTAATTGATAAAAAATTAAATCTAAACGATGTCCTAATGCAACTGTTTTATCATAAGTTTTTCTTAACCATGTTAATGCTTGTTCACGATCACCAATTGAACATAAATATTGTGATTTAGCTAAATAACTTTCACGTATTTCACTTTCACCAAATGCTTTTTCATTTTCTTCTATTTTATCATCTAATTCTTTTAATTTTTCTTCATTTACTTGACGTATTGTTTGAATAAGTTGATCATCTGATGATAATTCACCATCTTTAATACATTCAAGATAAAATGGTGTCATATGATTTGTTTTAATTTCATTTAATAATTTTTCTTTTAAGCTTTTATCATTTGGTTGTAGTGTTATTAAAAATTTTAATTGTGCTAAATCAAGATTAGGCACTTTAGGAAGGCCTTCATCAGATAAATCTTCGACAGGCATGATCTAAAACTCAAAGAAAAAAATCTAATCAAATGAATATATTATAGCATTAATCTTTCGTCTATAGAAAAATGCGAAATATGCCAAATCTTGATTTTACAATAAATTTTTTTTTTTTGGAAATATTCAACCAACAAGAGTGAAAAATAGGTCATTTGATAATTCAAAATTCTCTATGGATTCTCATTCTATTTTTTGAAATGTATTTTTATCTAATAACAAAAACAATTTAATTAGAAAAAACGCTATTGGCTATAATGAAGGTCCTTTGCGAATTCTGGAATGCAGTGTAGATGGAAATGAAGAGAAGACTAACACTCACAAACGTCATACTTCGCTCATTGTTGCTTTTTCGGACGAAATTTTTTTGAAAAAAAAAACGATGTGCAACATAAAAAATTCTATTGTTTCTGACAGATCCGTACGATTAGAGTATACTGAATAAGCATTGTTAAATGTATAAGTGGACCATTAGACAAAAGTAGAGTGAAATATGAATAATATTTTGTTGAAACTGCACTAACTCGAGGTATATACAAGTAAATCTCAAGTTCATCAACAGTTTAACATTATTATTTCCCAGAAATTAAAATATTCGCACAAGAATCATTGAAAAAGATTCTGTCGTTAAATATCCGGGAGAATTCATTATACTTGAATAATGAAAAAACTATTTGAAATTTCACATTCTAAATACATACTACAGTACATTTTTGCTTTCCATTAATGACAACATGTATATAAGTCATCCAATTGTGTTAACAGTCTCTATTATTCATTTATGCATTCAAAATAAAACGTATTTTTGCAATATTTAAAGTCTTTGTTCAATCAAGATTGGTTTTCATATTAAGTTTTTCTATGAAGAAATTTAGTCTAAACTCAAATTAATTTCTTTTATGCATTTGAAAGTATCAATGGAATATGACGCCATCTATCGATCAAACAATTAATCGCAAACGTATTCCTTCCACGAGGATGTGGGTGTCAGGATTAACTACTATCGTCAAATTCGTACCCACGTCCGGTTTAACCTTTTTGTTGATAAAGACATGGATTAAACATATCA